GAATTATTGATACATTCGTGATCTTCAGCTTTTCCTCGAGGACCTTCTGTGGGATCGGCTACGGCTTCGTCCAGATCGTGAGTGCGATCTCCTCAATCTTCTTCTACGTCTTCTGGAGCCACTCGCTGATCTTGAGCGGCGAGAACTCGATCGGCTGCGGGATCTTCTTGAGCGTCGCGATCCGGAACTCATCGTCTGCTGTGGCCACGGGAGCTTGACTTTCTGCGACGACGACCTCCTCGTCGAGCCCTGGTTCCCTAAAGTCTTTCAGCAGTAGTGCCTTCAGCGATGGGATCGGATTGTTGAGCTTCGTCAGGACAAGTCTTACTTCTTCTTCGTGTGCTAGGCATGCTTTTCTTACCAACATGCAGAGCACACGAGGAAGAAGTAAAACGCCTTGTCCTGACGAAGCTTAACAACACATGGATACTATTGAGCGTTGGATTCAGTAGAAGAGAGGGGGAGGAATTTATGTAAAGGGAACCCGTCCAGGGGATGTCCTGTTTTCAGGAATCTCCCCAAACCGCAAGGGCTTCCCTATTCTTGACCACGACGGTTGCGTCATCGACCAGAGCAAAGACGCCGAGTTTTGGGACCCATCCCCGAGACGGGAGTTTCTGACGCGGCTCCAGCTGCAGATTGAAACCCACTAGTCTTCATGTAAAGAACGCGTATCGAACATAACCCCTCCAAGGGGGATGCCTTAGTTTCGGAAATTTTCCTATAAATTTGCAAACTACAGAAGTCTAAGTTTACTGTGGCGGAACTGAACTAATCCTAAAAGATCAGCACATTAGCAGCGCAAAGGTTGATCTTCTTTAAAAAAAAGCTCTTCTCAATAATAGCACAAAAACGTAATGATAAATAGTAATGAAACTATGTCTTTTCTGCTCAGGCCACCCAACCTCACCAAAAAAAATGTAAGATTCCTGGATAACTGAGGCGCTTGAATTCAGTGGGACTATTAGCCTTGATAACCTAGAATTTCTTAACTCTCCTCATTCATAATATCAGAACAAAACATTTGAATAGGACTAGTTTTGACTCCAAAAAGAGCATTGCTTTGTTGCTCAAACATTCACCTCTCATGTGAGATTTCATACGCGATTTCCTCCACGGAGTCGGTAATCCACACATCTCCTCAGCTTTGTTTTCCAATCGTGTTCTCCTTTTATTAATTTCCTTGCGTAACCTGTCAATATGCTCAGCGAGGACTGTCTCTCTTTGATTTGTGAACATGCGACGCCTGCAGAAAAACCATTCATAACTTAC